GTCCAGGAAAAAATGGGATTGGAAATATTTTAGCACATGGAAAAAAACATAATTTTTTTTGTACTTAATGATGGGTTACTGAAAACCTCCTAGGAAATGTCTTTTTGTATCATGCTGAGATTTACTTCAAGACAAAGAAATTGATCTTAGATACTTGAAAAATCAAGGTTGCATTGACTGACAGGCAGATGCAATCTCAGTTTTGTGTAAAAACGGCCTCCTATGCATTCATATATATTTATTTTGAAAGTGAATTCATAGTCAACTGAGTATATCTACAAAAATATATATGATGTGGCATGCGGGTCAAATTATTCATTTTCTTTTGCTAGTAGGGGCATGTGGGGGAAAAATACAGCATAATGCTCATTTTCAGCAATATATTGAACTGTCAGTCAGTCAATACTCTCACAGTATTTTAGAGAAGATGAGCGACTAGTCTGTACTAATTAAAGTTCACTTGCTTGGTCTGGACCACCAGGTGTCAGGACTTCTAGTGGCCTCCGTAATATGGTTGTAAAGAAATGTAACTTTTCAAATGTGGAAGTTCATTAGTTATCGTAGAATGGCTTACAACCCATTTCTCCTAAAAGCCTATCATGCGTGTTTCTTCCAGGAGCTCTTTCTAAGGATTTTAATTACAGTCTCTGTAGAAAACTCTTAACAGAAAAAGCAAGAAGACATTCTTACAGCCTTGTTACAAGCTGCCATGTTGGCAACTACCATTTTCACTAATGATCTTCAAGACATATTTTAAAGCTACATATGAGAATTGTAGGAATTACCAACCTCACTGCATCTCACTTTCAGATTCTGAAATCCTGGGAATCCTTCTTTTTCATTTGGTAAACCGTTTGGGAGAGTTCAGTAATTCTGATTATTTACAGTTGAATCACAGTCTCCCAAAATCCATTTCAAAAGGCGACCAGCATTTCACCAGCACATCTGAGAATGAAAGAAGGGTTCTGATTTTATCCCAGTTTTTGCCTGCCATCCACTACTGCTGGAGACGTGCTATCAAACACTGCATTTCACAACTGCTTGAGCTGCGCTTTGCAGGTGCCTCCAAAACCTCCCCTGAGAACTGCAAGCCCAGTGTTCAGCCACCTCGTTGCAAAGGACCTGAGCAATCCTGGAGACCTCGATGTAGCTATTCATCTTGACAATGTCAGTTCGAATCGGAGCACTGCAGAAGCTGCTCCCAGAGATATTTTTTTTTCCTTCTTAACTTTTCCTCAAAATGAAATGTAGTTTGAGTGTATGATACCTATGTGTTCAAATTATTTTTGAAAATAAAATTATTTCTGTGAGGCAATGGAGAAATAGAAGTAAACAGAAATGGGAAAGGGGGACTGAGAAAGAACTGGGAAAGAAGAGAGTTTGCTGTGGTCAGAGGGATGAACAGAACAGAAGTGAGGACCTGTGCAAAGATGGAAATAGGTAATTTGGCAGAGAGAATCTGAGATGGGGTGCGTGTCCGTCCTCCATTTTCTCTCTTTTGCACACAGTGAAAGCCCCTCGGGAGTATCAAAATCTTATTCTCATCTCCTCTCCAGTCATCTATAGCCTGAGAGGATCTTGAATGTTTAGGGGACTCATCTCTCCCTGCGTCGCATCCTTGTCAGTGCAGACTACACTCTTGGAAGACCTTCCTCTCTGGGGAGTCATTAACCCCAAGATGATTAAACACTGGGACCATGGAATGAAGGTCATAGAAATAAAAATCTTTTAAGCCTCAGAAAAACAAAATTAAGGGACAGATAATGCCTACTTATGGTGGAAAGCTGACTATAGTGAGATGAAGAAAATAATCTAGTTTGGATGGAATTGGCTGGGGTGGATGTGGAGCCTGCCTAGGGCAGCCTGGCAGACGGGAAAGGTCACCTACTTAAGGTGACATGCATGGTGGGTGCACAAGACCGGTGCAGATATAGTGCATGCTGTACAACGGGCCATGTGTGTAACCCCATCTGTGATACACACCCTCTGCTACAACAGTTCACACGCCACCATCTTCCTACATCCAACAGGTTTGGGAAGTATCAACAGAAGGGAAGTATCAACCAGAACAGGTAGCGTAGGGACAGTATCTTCTGTGCCTATCACACAGTAAAACTGTCCACACTTGGGAACAGAGTCCACATGGTCCAAATATTTTTAAGTGGGACCATGAGATCCACTCCCACAAGACAGAAATCAGGGCAGGTGCTTGGAAACCACATATTATTTTCCAGCTAGCTGCAGTAACATCACCAGCAGTAACTGCAAATGTACAACTAATCATTAAGGTATTATAAAGAAGAAATACATTGCTAATAAAAAATTTCTAGGAAATTCAATAGCATGAAGCTTTACTAGTGCAGGATAGCAGGTGTTTCATAGTATTTGTTCCCCTTCTAGGACTTGAAGTTCAGGAAAATGGAAAAAATAAATAAACTGCCAACAACAAAACTTCCAAAATGGAAAATACCAAGTGAAGCTCACACAACCTTTGTTTTATTTTTCTGACTAGTTATCCCTAGACACACATTTGTACCTTCTATTCAAAGTGTTCTGAACATCAGCCATCTACACCCTTTCTGTAATGAAATCAAAAGCTGCTCCCTGGGGAAAAAACCCTCCCGTCTGCTATATTTGCTTTCATCCATACCTGTCACCAAATTCTGTGCTTTCATTACCCATCCTTAAACCCTCATGTCACACAGATCTCCCACCTTACTGCTGGCAGCCCCATCGTAAGACCATCACTCTGTCCTCTCATTGAAACTCTACAGAGCAGCATGGAAATAAAATATCACGCACCCAGCAGCCAACTTCCTTGACCCAGATAGTAAAATAGAGGGGATCTGTATCCACCTTTAACGCCCGGGAGGTATATAATCCCTTTTGGTCACTGTCAGCTCTCAGAAAACAAATGATTACAGTTATTGGAGTGTGCAGCTTAACTTCATTTTCTAGATCTTCAAGGTTTGAAGCAACTGTATTTATCTTTTAATTTTATTTCCTTCCCGACTCAATTTACTATTGTAGCACTTAAAGCCTACACAACAGACTTGCTGTTTTATCAATATTATCAATTCCACCTTTAGAGAGTCTCTCTTATGTAAAGCACAATAGTAAATAGAAAAGAGAATAAAAATGGTTTAATATAACAGAGTTCTATAACTTATGTGTTTTATCTTCAATGCTGTCACTTTTTTAAAGTACAAATACAGACTGCAGCATGCTGAGGGTGGGAGAGTAGAAAGAGTGAAGAGAAAAGTTAGATCCTACTACTCAAATACCACAGACGGTATTTGGACATAAACCAATTTCTTCTGAGGCTGTGACTGCTAGATCTGCGAAATTTCATGCTGATTCTCACCAGATTTTTTTTTTTTTTAAACTCACTGGTAAAAGGCAAAAAATCTTTAACAACATGGAAAGTCAGAAACTAGGCATACACAGTCTGACAATTTTTCTACAGGAAAGAAAAAACAATGGTACCATCAGTTTTCAGCTGCCAGTGCTTTCAAACACAAAACCTGCCTTTGTGTTTGTATCTTTGTTGCTCCTACAGGAGCGGAACATGACAAAATCGAAGACCTGGAGAGGCTGCATGCATGCGTGCGTGACAGAAAGTAGCATGCTGAAAAATTCAAAGTTTGGGAAGTATGCCATTAAAGCTATCAGGTTTGTTTCGGTCTCCTGCTGTGGACCTACCAGAAGCAGCTTATCTGATCAACTAATGGAAGACAAAATGTAAAAAAGCACTTAGATCAGGCAACCTGTGATTAAAACAATTATGAAGCAAATACATTCCACAGACTATATTTGTATATATTCAAAAGCGCCAGATTGAAATGAGTCCTTTCCTAGCAATATCACATTTGCTTCATACTCTGTTTCACACTGATGACAAACATCATGATAGCAATCACAGAACACAGTCTGAAATGAAGTAGTTCACTGTACATGAGCAAACTTGTGGTAATGATTTGCCAGCAGCTAGACCATAAAGTCTCAAAATTGAATGAACACAATAAGGACATACTGGAGCAGTTTAGATGACAGAGGAGGTTAATAAAACATAAGATATTGTAAATGTAGTATATGATACAAAGAAAACAGATCAGGAGTTGGGGAAAAACACCACTTTGCCTTTTCTGCATTTCTTTTGATGATTCTAAAACTAGTCATAGACGATTCTATTCCTGAAATGTCCTGCTTCGCATTTCTCTATTTGCAACAAACTCACAATATAAAAGGGTGATTTAATTAAAACCCATATGCTTAAAATATATAACTATATTTCACATAATGCACAATTCAATTCAAAATCTGATTTATTACTAGAGAACGTCATCAAGTTAATTATCCATATGATATATGAGTCGCATGGTAAATTCTAGATGTATCAGATTTGATTTTCAAAAGTCACTGAATGATTCTGTAAAATTTATGTCTTGTGGTTCCCATGCCACTTGTGACATTTTCAGCCATTACCTTTTCTAACAAGCATGCCAGTGTAGGTCTTGCGCTTTTCCCTGAACTTTTTCCTATTTGGGCACTTAAAATATCTTTTCAGAGGTGCATGGGATAGTGGAATTAAATTTGGACAATCCACACAGAAACTCGCACACAAGAAGCTTGTCCTCACCCCACCAATGTAAACCTTTAAGTCCTCAGGAAATTCAGCTTTAATTACATTTGCAAATAGCCATACATTCATACATTCAGGTATGAAGAGGCACAATGTGTGCTCTACTAAGAGCTTTGCACATGATGGAACGCAGAAGTCTACATCATCCCACCAGACAATACCAGAGGGAGGTACAAGCCCCTCATCTGTCTTCATTCCTTCCCTACAGTAAATCCACCTCAAAAGCAAGAACAGTTCTGATCCTCCATAAACCCTGTGTAAGACCATAATGATGCTGAAGACATCCATCCCTAGTAAGGCAGTAATAAGAGCATCAAAGTCAGGTATCACGTATCCGTTTGTAATAGAGCACTCCTACCTTTTCAGTTTCATATAATTTTCACTAGCTGCAGGTCTGCATTCAGCACGTTGCACCACTATTCCTTCCAAGGAAAGTTTATCTAGAATAGAAAAAACAAAGTGAAACTGGACATTAAAATAAGATTCACCAACATAGTCAACATTTAATTATTTTTCACTAATTAAGCATTTAATAAATACAATGTAATTACAAGTTCTCAAATTAGGTTCTAAAATCTCTTCTATTTAGACACTAAAGAAATAAGTAGCCAAAACATGCTTGCACAGCTCATATCCCCTAGACTTCCTTATTTTGTCATCAGATGTTTTCTATATTAAGAATGAATCACAAAGACCAAATTTTAAATAAGAGATGGTAATTGTGTGGTCCTCCTTTCTCTAGATTGTTGCACTCAGCTTATCTAGGAACTGCTTTCTGGAAATGTGCATTGAATACAGTCAGTGACCATGAAAAAAACAATCTACAAAGAGAACCCGATCATCAAAGTATCCAAAATCAGCGGAAGAGAAAATGAGAGCTAATTTTATTCTTATCCTCAGAAAAAAAAAGAGTAATTTATTTTCACCTTATTATAATAAAAAAAAAAGTTCACTAAAAGGACATAATGCAATAAAGCAATAAAACTACATATGTTAATACTCAGGGAAAAGAAATAAAAACTTGCAGTTAGTAATCTAGGAGATCACATACTAAGTCTTAGTTAATACTGTTCTCTGTACATTCACCTCTGTAACACAGCGACTTTGTAATCCAATGTGAACATTTTTTTCACTTAAAAGACTAACAGAGCAATGCAACTGTACCAGCCTATTCCAGAAAGGTGGAAAAGCCTAAAAATTAAAAGCAACTTGATGTAGAAAGAAAGAGAGACGCGATGGTGGGCAAACACCTGCTTCTCTACTACGATGTTGTAGCGCACAGTGTGTGTGGGGAGTGTGTGCATGGCAACTTATCCATCTCTTTTGGGCACAGTCTGCAATATGTGGAAAACACACCTCTGGAACAGCCGCATAACAAGAAAGGATGAGCTTTAACGGCTTGATTAGCTCTCATTATTTAAAATGTCCTTCCAACAGAGTCTCGTCTTGCTATTGGAGTAGGGTACTACACTGCCACTGTCACCTGCAGCTAGCAAATGTCACAGAAGATAACAGAAACACTTAGAAGTATAGATGCCAAGTAAAGTAAGGCACTCTTGAGATGCCTCTAATTTTTCCATTGCCTTATAGACTGAAATATTATTAAATCTGGCAATCTGAGTCTTCTCTCCCTGAATAATGCAGAGAGCGATTACTTTGACACCATGTCTTTTAAAGTCTTTTAATCTAAAAACTTCTTGATTCGATTTAAACTAAATCCTTGAGTGGAGTAAGAACGCCATATTTTTCCAGGTAGTTTTGAATGAAATAAAGAAAATTTGTATTAAAACACTTCTGGTTTTACAGATTCGTAAGGTTTATGGTCAGGAGAGACAACTTGGCAAATTTGCCTGACATTCTGGGTATCACAGATAAATTTTATCCTCTTTCTTCTGTACACAACCTAATAACTTATTTGTGGCTAAAGCGGTACTAATATCGCTGCTTGATTTCTAATATGAATTTGCCTTCAGCTTCTAGCAGTTGATTGTTTTTCTTATGTCTTTCTATACTATGCTAAAGAGCCTTTTAGTACCTGGTGTTTTCTCCCTTTGAAAGTACTTACACATTGTAATCAAGTCACTTCTCAACCATCTTTTTAATAAATCAACTAATTCCAGCTCATGCATTATCTCACCACAAGGTATTTTATGCCACACTTAAATCAGCTTTGGGTCTCTTACCTGCACCTTGTTCAATCTCGCAATGATGTTTTAAGAATATGGAGATCAGAAAATCAACGTAATACTATTGTACTGGTCTTACTAAAACCATTTATGAAGGTAAAATAACAGATACAGGAGCTGGAATTTCTGTCACCTCACTTCAAGCATCAAAAGGTTATTCAGTAGAATCTCTGAATTCAGCTGAGAGGGGGAGGAAGAGAGACTTAGGATTCAATGATCTGCCCTGTACTGGTGGTTTGTGGGGTTTTTTTTGTTTTGGTTTTGTTTTTTTAATAGGGGGGTGTGTGTCTGCATCCCATGACTGTGCTTCATGTTTAGATGGCTAAAACTGGCTTAAGATCAATTTGTCTCTAAAAATCAACTTTTAGAGGTTGATGGAACTGACTGGCTATTATATCACTAATACATCTATTTTGAGTCTTTTCTAAGCCTCACATTTTACCTATGTGCTCCACGTTCCCTGTTCCCAGGTATATAATTGCCTTTGGCTTGGTTAAAATGCATTATCTTGAAACAGATTCTGTGAACTAAGTGATCCCGGTCACGCCGTGACAGTTCTGTCAGAGTTATTCACTGTCTGACCAGCATTTGTGCCAATCACGACACATTTTATAAGCAATGATTCTCACTTAGCACTGTCCCTCTTGCTAATCCTGGAGGAAGCCCTTCGAACTACAACCCGAGTGGCTGCCTACTGATAATTACTTTCTGATAGCTGTCAGCCAGTTTTAAATCTTCTTCTGTGCTTGCTACTTTTTTTTTTTTTTGACATAGATCAGAATGTCACAAGATTCTAAATTACGTGCAATATGAAATGTTAAGCAGGCTGCAAAAAACATGCTGTTATTTTACCAAACTCACAATCCCCAAAATAAACAAAATTAGGTTTGTTTGAACAGAAAACCTTTACATAAAGCTATGTTTGCTAGTATTCATCATATTTCTGACCTTTTCTGCCTTTTGAACTCCACGACATCTTTTCCATTACTTTCTATGGTACAGGTTGAAGGTTATCTAGCCTATACTCATCCGAGCCATCCAGCCCGGCTGCTTGAACACTGACACGCCACTATCAATCTCTCCGCCCCTTGCACAATTTTCAAATTATTCCTAAATTTTAAGAATTAGGATCAGTGAACCAGATAGCTCCCCTACACCAACTATTTAAGAAATGAACCTGCCAATTAAACTTGCTTATACTTAGTAATATCTCATCTTTGATGTCTTGGCTAATACTCTCTTTTAATTACCACTATCCGGATTTGGCTTTCAATGTTATAGTCGCTTCACAGTACAAGGCTGTCCACAGCCTCGAAGACCACCACCTTGCAGCTAAGCTAGTCTGCTCTCAAAGCTCAGTCACTCTCTAAAAGTCAAAGTTTATGTCCCACTTTCTCTGGACCCTCTTGGGGATTTTAAGACATCCAGAGAGCCTAGCAGAATAAATCTGCAAAGATGCATGTAAACCTCCGGATGCAAGCAGACTGTAGCAGGGGAACATAGTTTTTACTCCCTTTGCAACCTAATTAGCCCTTAACCACCAAACTCAAGTTCAGAGACTTGGGTCTGTCTTCACTTGTTGCAGGACCAGAGCTCCAATGAAGAGACATCCAAAGTGCTACATGTCTGCCTTGATACTTCCATAGTCCCATCAGCCTAGAAGCCAAAGGATGAATAAGGCACAGAAGTGGCAATTCCCTGTTAAAAATACCTACTCAAAATAAAGCAGATAGTACAAGATAAATGAACAGGTCTGGAAGACTAGCTAAGACCAGTGATTAGAAGGGAAAATAGACATTTTCCCAAGTGTCTTAGGCTCTCAGTTGTCCTACGTGGGGTGGCAGTTACAAATAAACTGGAGTGCAGCTCCAGACAGGCTGGTCTACATAAACTCATAGCTTCATCATTAGCTGCCAAATGTGTGCTCACCCCAGCCTTCCTGCCTGAATGCCCTGGTGCCAATTCATAAAGGAATTTCAACTGTCGACTCTTTCAGTGAGATGATAGGAAGATACGCTGGGGAGACGTCGATTCCAGCTGCAAATCCTGCTGATAATCACCATTAACTGAACAGAATGTGGTTAAAAGGCTTACAGCAATCTTAATAAACAGGCACTGGGGAAATTTAATGGAATTGTGCAGAAGATGGTCTGATAGCGGTTGGTTGGGTTTTTTTGAGAGAGAAGGACTGGTATGGAGATTTTAATGTGTTAGTTTTCTAGTCTGACTGCACCCAGATCCAATTTCCAGCCACTGGTCTTGTTAGATCATTGACTGCTAAGTTGAAGAGCCTGCTATGAAAGCATTTCTGCCCATCCAAGCACTTATGTACTCTCCACCTTTATCAAGCCTAATAAAAATAAATCATGTTTTCTTGAATCTTCCATTAGGCCTATTTTTCAGCTTCTTAATCATTCTTATTGGCCTGAGAAAGTTCAGTTCATGAATGTCTCTCCTGAGCTGTGGGCCTCACAGCCAGACTTGATGGCACGTGAGACAGGATCTGGAGTTGACCAGCTCCTGCTCTTTGTGAGAGGTGCCAGGGAGGGAGTAGAAGATCTGTCTCAGGACACACGATTCCCAGGCAGCAGGAAAAAGTAGACGAAAGTGCAGTAATCACAGGTTATGGGCGTGCTGTGCCTCCAAGCTCCTCAGCAGGTAGAAGCTGGGCTGTTGCTTCCCAGCATCCAAGTTGGAAGCCCCGGTAGTTCCCACTGCCCACTTATACCGCTGTGCAGCCTCCCAGGCTATTGCATGTGATGGCTGGACAAGGAGCAGCACCCACCTACACTAGACCTCCTACATCTCTTCCAGACTACAGGCATTTTGTGGCACCTCTCCTCCATTTAAAGGGTAGACTTGAAGCTCGTGCCCTTCTCAGATCATCCTTCCCCTGCAGCAATGCACCTAGAGAAGAGGATTGTCCCGTCTTCACTTGGCACACCACCCTTATTTAGGCATGCAAAAACACAAGAGTACATTTCTTTTACTGACCACTGCACAGAACAATGACCTCATGTTCAGTTGTCGATGGTGCACGATACGCAGGGCAGAGCCTCTGCCCTACCCCTCCCACAAGCATATGTACTGCAAGCCCCATCTATAGTATATTCCTAGGCATATAAACTTCATATTTGGCTTTATTAAAATGTTAACCTAACCAACTACCCAAATGGTTCTGCATCAGCAATGTATCTCCTTATTGATTACATTCTCAGTCTGTATCATCTCCAAACTTCATCAGTTAGCTATCT